GGGAAAGGTATCTTGCCTTACCTGACAATTTCTTTTCTCCTAGGGTAGTCCATAGATCTATTAGAATAAGCCTTTCTCCAGCTTGCAGATCCGTTGAGGCAGAAACTAGACTTGTCATTTAAGTCAGAATAGGAGTAGTTTTACCCCCGAGAACTCAGCCAGTTAGTGAGTCTGAGAGACTTCCAAAGCTGTCCGTCAGAGCTATGGGAAGTCTCTCAGGGTATTTCAGGAAGCAGCAAGGTTTTCAGGATAGCTACGGCCTCCTGTGATCAAGTACGTGCTAGCCCTTTTCTGTCCAAGGGAAGAGAATGTTAACTAGCATTTTGGAAATGCCTTCAGAGAGGCCAGCAGGCTAAAGAATAGCAGAATGTGAGGGCTTTTGTGCATTGCCTGAGAAGCTTTATCCCTGCAAGAGGGTGAATGTAACAATAAAGTGAGGTCCAACTGACAGTGGAACAGATCTGTCTTCCATGACAAGTCTATTCAGTTTCCTGCTCCTTCAGATGGCTTTGAAGGAGATGAGGAACAAGTTATACAAGCAGAAAGCAAAATGCAATTACTGAGTATCTTCTGCTGTACCTGTACACAGCTAGACACTTGGGGGTAGGGTGGGGAAAAAGCAACATCCTGGCCTCTAGAACTAAAAATATTTAAACATCTCAGAATAACACAGTTCGATATGGAGGACATCTATTAAAGAAAGGGAAGAAAGTAAGTTGTTGTTATGTTGGAAATCAAAGTTTCAAGAAGATCCTGTTCAAGACCTCCTTGCTGACCTTTCCTAGGCATTAGGCAGAAGATGGAGTAGTTTTCAGTTTCTTGGTCCCTAGGAAATCAATGTGTTATAATCTTTACATTCTCATGAGTCAACAGATTGACAGATGCATAATTACATCAACCTCATTCTGAATTCAAAACACAGCATCAGTTGGACATTTATGCCTAAGATTCAGTCCTTTAACATAGCTTTAACAAATGAAAATGCCTTTCTACCCCACCCTTACTGGGGAAACCGCAAAGCACAGTCAGGTTATAGTATTGTCACTTGCCACGTGCAAAGCTTCCTTGCAGTTTCTCATGTATTTCTAAGAGCTACCTACTATATTTAATCATTTAGCTGATAATCCCAAGATGATTCTTAATTGGCTTAAAAGCATCAAGCCTCATAAGAGGGTTTGCATTTCCCTTTGAGCTACAAGGGCTCCTTAGACATCCTACTTATCTATGGCATGTTCATTTATTTGCAGCCTAGTAAACATTAACCAGGATCTGCTTTGTCTCAGGATTAGCTTTCTAGCGTGATAAAAGGCATTAAGGGTGACATATTTACAGCTCACTGCTGTTACAGTAAACTCGGTGCAGCTCTCCATTCTGAGATTTACAATCAAACAGCTATTACAGCTCAAATCTTTGTAAGAGAAGGACTGCAGTTCAATGTATCTTCTGATCTTCAGTGACAGAAAGGGTAACAGGAAATATAAACATGCATACATTAAGGCATCAGATGTGTGAAGAGCTGCTGGAAAGACTTTATTACTTCATCATTCTTTACACGAAAACTTTCCACTTAAATCAAACATGAGACTTGCATCAACTTTTGGACTAACTCTCCTTCCTTCCCACTTTCTCCCATTTCTGTTTTTTCAGGGGCTTACCTGGAGGAACAGAGTCCACATAATACTTCTGAGCCTGTTTTCAAATGATTCCTGGTACAATTGATTTTGATCATCATCATCATCATCATCATCTTCTTTTACCAGTTCTAGCTCCAAGTTTGGAAAAAGGTGCCCTTTCCTCCCAGAAAGATGAATAGGAGAAGCCTCATGACACTTCCTGGCCCTTTCTGGTTCCTTGTAGAGCCTTTTCCCTGGGAAGATTTGTATTATGGTGAACTAGAAGGAGAAGGAGGAGCAGAGCAGCCCCGTATTTGCTCCTTAATTTATGGGAAATGCAAGACTTCATCCTTTGGGGAGCAGTTACTGCTGTTGTCAGGAAATGTAGCGTTTTTCTGATGTCTTTAGCTTTCCTTTCCTGTTTCATGACTTACATTAATTCCTCAAGCCCCACTGAACATTCCCTAAACTTTGTAAGTTTCCTTCCATTTATTTTGAGGCTAGAAAGCGAATCGATAATAGAGTATCACTAAGGTGAAAATTACACTTGCTGCTCTCCTACAAAATTAAATAGAGCTTTCCAAAATTTCAACTCTTCTCTGACATTGTTCCCAAGCGGTTTCACTGAAATTTAGCAAATGGTTATTAAGGAAGCCGATGCTACCTGAGGAAGAGAAAAACCTTTTCAGATCAGAGCCTTCTTGTATTTCTGAATCCTGTAGTCAAATAGTCAGAGTTAAATAGAAGCCAAAGGGCATGTCCTCTTAGGGCATATCTAATCATGCACAGTGGAGAAATGACAGGTGAGCTCCAGTTTACCAATAATTTCACTTGCAGAGGCTGCATGAGAATCCTAGCTTGAGTTGCAAAGCAGTTCAGTTGCAACAGGCACAGCACAGCAACCCTAACTAGCTTGGACACAACACTCAATGCTATTCCGTTTCTGGCGTGAAGACCTCTGCAGCACGCAGAGAGAGCCCTTGCTAACAAAAGGCCAGAGGGAGCAAGGCTTTGAAGGCTGCGGAAGTGTTCAGAAATAAATGGTAGGCCAGAAGGTCCTGAGCTGTATGTTTACTTCTTCACATCTAGGTTTCTTTCCCTCTCATGTCTGCAGGCTTGCTAAATGAGGAGCAGGATTCAGTTCAGCTGTGGTTAGCAAGAGTTCTTTTATACCGCAGACACAAAAGGGCAAGTTCATAGCAGAGGCACAGGGTTCACTTAGCCTGGCACGGCTAATCCTGACACACAAGATTCAAGTAAGACTTTTTTCAATCTCCTCTAATATCCCTTTATTTCCTTAGTTATTTGCAAATCAAGTTTGTCCAAACGTACAGCTCTGGAAGCTACTGCATGCAGTTCTTAGTCAAGAGGTGGGGCTTTAGCAACAATTCCAGACATCATGAGCCTGTATGAAAGGCCACATAAACATAATGCAGAATGGTAAGAATAAACAGAATAAATTTTGGTTACTTTCTTTTCTGATTGCTCTGAAAAGGTAGTTAGGTAAAAGCTTTTCCTGCAGCTGTGAGAGGCGATTCAAACTGAAAAACTGGCTGGACACTGGGTGGCCATTCTGAACCTGCCTCGATCCGTATGTCTGGTTTCTGTCTGAGCACGCAGGAGTAAGCCATTTTGTAACAGAACTGCAGACTTTCCCTGGGAAGAACACTGCATGAGAGTACAGCTTCTACAGCATGAAAAGCAGGGGATAGGGAACAAAGTGCAATTTTACACTGTTTTATTTGCAAGTACTTGAGAAAACAGGGTTTAGGTTATGGCAGCTTTCCAAGATGAAGCTGGCATATGTTCATTGTAGGACATTTCCAACCAACAGTTAATTCCTTCTCTTTCATGTAACAGAACTATAGAAACACAGCACTGAGGGCTTTCAAAAGCTTCTTCACTGTTACTTTTCACAGTAGTAGAGATAGAAAGCATCAAGTCTCATCCTTTAGCTGAATATGATTAAAGGCTCTAAATTAGCTGTAGGTAAAAAGAGCTAAAAACTTAAATTTAAAAAAAAAACGGAAGAGTACACAGTAACTTAAATTAGGAGGGTTTTTTTACTTGCCTTACAGAATCTGTTTCTCACATTTCTGATAAACTCCAGCTCATACAGAGACCTTCAAAAAATATTATTTTCACTATGCTTTTGCAAGAGTTCTAAAAAGAACTGGTACACTTTCCAGCCCATAAAGAAACTATCATTGCAAAAAATTTACAAATTATAGGGGAGCCTGCATTAGTTAAGACTACCTACTACCATCCTTATTTTCAGACATAAGACAGGAACATGTTTTTTGTATTGGATTGCTGCCTGAAGCTTAAATTCTTACATTAATGCTTCAGCAGAGAACTAAAGAGAAAATATCCTCTGACTAGTAGTAGAAAAATTAAGTGTGCTGCTGAGAGGCTTTAGCATCTCCTTGCTTACCAGTGGTGGCTTCAAGTTTGATAGGTACAGACAACCAGGGGGATGATGCCTGTGACTTTTTTTTTTTTTTTTTAAGTTAAAAAGAGCTAGGAAGAGTTAAGATTATATAGCAAGAATCTAGCCTTGATTTAAATATGCACTGATTGCATCCTATGCAGACAGCTCTTGTGCTGCCTTTGACTATTACCTAAGGGACAACAGATTTAAGATCCTCCCACAGTGTATTAAATGGTACAGTCTTGGATCAAGTATCAAGAAAGCAAATACAAGCCTTACTCTTGCAGTAAAGCGCTGATATTGGGTGCACAGAATAAAGCTGTCAGCAGCAATCTCTACGGTTTGCTTCACATATTCTGTATCAAGGGCACAGAGCATGCTAAAGGTAGAGACTGAGACTGCAAAATTGACAGGGAGCAGAGGAGAGGCTTAACAGGACTGGAATGACCTACGCCTGCAGCGGCCTGTGCTATCAGATAACATGCTGCAGCATCCCGTACCAGCTCGAACGTACGGAGACTAATACCTTTGTATCCAGACATTATAATCACATGCTGCTCTTCCAGACAGCTGTATTTCAGTCACTTATGTGCGAAAAATTACAAAAGTTGAAATTATAAAGCCAACTGAAATCTGTTATTTCCTACCATTCAGAACCACGTGTTGCAACTGTAAATTTAAAATACTGTATCCCAGCAGCTATTCTGAACTTCACTTTCCCAGAAGGTAAACATCAGGGTATGAGAGATGTGTATGTGAGTAACTGGCTGTTCTTACACATTTCCTTCTTCTTTAGTGGGGGGGTGGGGGGGGGGAAGCACAAGCTAAAATCCCAGTTGTATTTACTACTTGCTAGCATTTCATTAAGTGAAATGGGGAAAAAAAGCAAGCAGGTTTGATGTATAAATCTGCTAAGCTGTAGCAAGCACAGAATGCTAGCATCTCATCATTTATTTAAACCCCGTCTATCATCAGGCTTGCTTTTGCTCCACTCTCAAAGAACCATCTCCTACAGAGGTTACACACACATCAACCATTTTTGTGGATTTATAAACATTTGCATTTACCATAGTCATCTGTTTTTTCCCTTTTCGGGACAATGTATGCTTCGTCATTAATACTACAGAGAGAAAGACAGACTCTTCTTTTTGTAAGGTAGAGGGGGATGAAAAGAAGCATCCTGGATTCAACACCTCTAACATACAGGTTAGGCTGAAGACATTTTGGATTTTTTTCTACTACAAAAATAATGTGCAATAAAAGAAAAAAACTGCCAAGAAAATAATATTACTGCCAGTAAAATGTTTTAATTAAACACTAACCAGCACTCGTCCTCCAAAGATGTAACCTTTATTTCCCAGCACAGCACATGTATGAGCTGCTCGAGGCTGAGGTGGATCTCCACCCTGAAAGAACCAAAATAAATCCTTCAGAACATCATCAAAGTGCCAGTCAAGGATATTGGCAAGTCAGTATCACAGAGACTGCAAAAGTAAGGCCAACATGCATCAATATGCCGACAGAACTGCAACTTGAAATCATTTGTAGTCATGTCCAAGACTCCACAGACATTAGAAGATACACATATTTGCCAAGGACAGCTTTAATTAAGTACCCTCAGTAGCTATTGTTTAATATATTCCCTCTTGGTCTCATTTGTCATTGCTTTACTTAAGTGAAATTCAATTAATTTATCTTCAATTCCTAAGCATAAAATTACAGTAACACATCAGTTATTGTTCGTATGTTCTGTGCAGCTTTATTTTTCCAAAGTGCAAAGATCTCTGGAAATCAGACCTTAAAATTTGATGTTACATCCAGTAGCCTCATACCAAAAAGTATTCCCTGTGTAAATCAGAAATAAAGATAGCAAAATTGGCTTTTACTTTGCAATGGTGATTTCATTTTTTGCATTTAGATGTATAGGAATTTTAGAACATCCTATAAAGACCGCAAAATAGTGTCAGACACTCATTACAATATACTACTTCTACTGAGTTCTTACGTAAACTCACCAGGATTTTATGAACCTTTATAGTATACTATCATATTAATAACTAGAAATGTGTGCATTACTATTTTACTGGGAAAGTAAGTATACATGTTCCTTTGGAAGACTATTAAAATAACGTATTTGCTGAAGAATACCCGATCTGTTTATTCTAACAATATAGCATGCTGGGATGTATTTGTTCAAAAGATTTTTCAGTATTAACTCTTCAAGGGAATACAGCAACTCCGTATACACAACGCTCAAAATAACGAGCGTATAACCCTCGCACACTAAGCATTTCTCTTTACTTCACAAAGAAAAACCGAAGACCTAAACTAGCGATACAGTGAGGCTACTCTCCCTTGCCTTCTTTTAGTCTGTGAAAGCTGAATGGTGAATCAAGAGAGACTGGATTTGACTAAATCAAAATCAAGATTTCAAGACCACCGTTGTTCTTTCAGCCCGGTATACTATCCTTAAAAACCGACCTGTCAGCTTTCTGAGAAGGGGGAGGCAGGGGAAGGAAGAAATCTCCAGGCAGACGTTAATCGCTCATGTGGTCAACTCTCAGTTATCTGTGATAGGTTATCCACATTGCAGATTAATTATACACAGATGCAGTCAACCAAATGGCTTCATATTCAGATAAACGAGGTTTGTTAACCTCACTTTGGCACCATTAAGACCATCACGAGTTTCTACCACGCGCTCCCCAAAGACCTTCGCTTTGTTCCAGAAGGCCTTCGCTAGGTGCGACACAGGATGAATACAGATGGCCTGGGTTAATGGCTGCGCTCCAGCCACGAAACTGTTCCACATCCAAAGCCCTGGCAGGGCCTACAAGGAGACCCAAAGTCAGTATAATCACCATAATCCGTTCCGCAGGACCCCAGCTTGCTCTGTGAGGAGCCACCAAAACACCTCCACACCCCGTTCCTCAGCACCACTCTGGTATTCCTACTAAATGGTTTTCTGGAGTACTCCAGTGCCTTGTCTTTCCAGTAACGGAGCACTGACAGTAATTTTATATTCCCAGCAGTTGTCTTAAAGCTTGAATACAAAACTATCCCCTAGATACAGAATACTGTATCATCTTCTAATGTATCCAGATTTCTAATACCTATCTGAAGCTTACAATATTTTTTGCATCAGAACCACATTATAGAAAAACCACCAGTCTAATAACATGCTGTGGGGGAAAAAAAATTCATATCAGTTCTGAATTTTCCACATTTCAGATGCATTGAGTGTCCTCCTGTTTAATGTTATAAGCCTGAGCAATACTAAGCATATCCAAATTACTTTTCCGACCATCAATTTCTAGAGCACAATAACTATTCAAAATGCAGTACAATCACAATTGTGTCACAAGACAGGACCAGAGAATACTCACTCTAATTGCTGGTTGAGACCAAGTTTGTGTGGTTGTATCAAAAACATGAACATCATTATGCCATCCCCAGAATATCTGTCCTTCCTAAAAAAAAAGACGTTAAAAATTAGTAAGTTTATTCCATTTTAACATCTTTGTGCTTATTAAAGGATGCAAATGCAGAAGTGAACTAGCAAAACAGAAAATAAGCTAAAATACAGAATTTTATTAAAAGAAACATATGCTAATGTTTTTAATAATGATGCAGCAGTTCAGGTCTAGTTGAAGGTCAACAGCACTCAGGAATGCTAGATGACACGTTTGAAAGTGGGCTTTGGGCTTCAACACCAGTCACTGCAGTACACAAATTCTACCTTCCGAGTGTAACATACTGAGAAATAAATAGGTTGTACAAAGTAATACATTTCTGTAAGTCAATATTTAACATTTGATGTAAGGATCTATACTCCCTTGAATGCACATCTATTTCTTACTAATTCCTGTCACTAAATACTCCAATCAGTCTCCTTCTTTCTATTAGCTGTAAGAAATCATTGTAGGAAACTAGCTAATCCAGGCATCTTAAAGGAATGGCATTTACTCTGGATAACAAATTAAAGAAATTAACTGAAAGTATTTCAGTTGTGAAGCTGTAAGTTCCCTACTGTTACTTCAAGGAAATAAATTCTAAAACTTTTTGGGAGTTTCAGATTTAAAATACATCTTTGGATTTGAAATACCGCCTTTGTTCCTGCTTTGACAGCATTTTGTCTCATTGCACTCAAAGCCTAGCCCTGGGTACTTGGAATACACTGAACACCCACTGCTCCCAACATGCAATATCTAAAATTTCAAATCTAAGCAGAAGATTCTAATTTGCATTTTTGCTGATGCTAAAAATAAAAGAAAAATCAGACAGACTTTCATACTTACTGAGTATAGTATAAAAGATCACATTTTGACAATCAGAAAGGAGAAATCACTCTGAATTGTGGCAAATCTCTTACCCAAAATGCATCATGGACATCAAAACAATCACTCAGTTCATTATGCTTCCTACAGCCATAGCCACCAAAATATATTAGCCTAAAAGAATAACAACAAAAAATAAGTTGTTAGCTGTTTTGTAAATAACATTCAAATGAATAAGCTGTAATAATTAATTTCAAATTTTGGTTTACCTACTGTACTATTAATAATATAAACAAATTAAAATATTTCCTATTGCACCTAATTACACAGAAAACCTTACAGAGATGAAGGTAATATTGTTACACTCCTGAACAAGCCTGACAGAAATCCACAGAAGCAAGGAAGTCCCTAGTCTCTATTCCTCCATCCACAAGCTTATCGCAGTCACATTTTCAGACACGAGTCTCAAAATGACACGTAACACACAAGACAGTGAAATGCTGACACTTCTGCTAGGATTCCTGCCCTTTTCTATTGAAATTCCTATGCTCCTGCTGTATGTCTTAGCCTTCTGTATACATCTTTTCACAACAAATGTTCCCAAGGTTCAGCCCACAGACTGCCTGTGACCCACAAAGTCTTTCTCTAGCTTATAAAGATATTCTTTCAACTAAGCACTACTGAACATATCGCATTGCAAGTATTGTTACACACCTCCCAGCCTAATATTCCACCCATGAAATGGCCATCCATAAGTAATGGTTCCTAAAGTTTTGTTTAACTTCAACATTTGAGGATATTTGGTATAGTTGTTAGTGATCTTGGGAGAAGGCAATTTAGGAAATGATGGGATGGTGAAGGTCATTCCAGACTGACATTCCTAGGGAAACAGAGTTACTGAAAGCATTGTGCAATACACCAAGACATCCTGATCTGCAAATTCACATCTTGTGAAAATTTAAGGTATACTTCTGAAAAGGTGCATAGCTTGTCCCCAAATACTTTTGTTAAATGAAAAGGTTACACTCTGCCACCTAAAATAGGTAATTTTCTCAGTATGCGGATTACATGATATGCCGAATAGATTAATTTAGTTTTGAATAATGTTGTATTAACAACTAAGGAGAAGTTGTTCCAACATACGTAATTTCACATGTCTTGCAGTTAAATTAGAATTACAAAACCAAGATATAGTACTGAGAGGCATTATACAGTTTATGCAAAACCTCTTTAGATGTGAAGTCCAGAAACATAAATCATTTACGTTTTATAGTGTTCAGTGTATATCATATTCTTACTTGTTTACAATAACTTTTATAACAAATCACTGACATGGCACTTTCTTGTGACCACATATGCCACAATATCCAGACACTTTCCAAAATAAACACAAAATCTGAAGTATTTATTTTTAGCTAAGTATTTTTCCTAAACACACTCAGAAACTTTTACAACACAAATATCTAGGCTGACTTGGTTCTTAGAAAATGAAGATACTCACTGAAATGCCTTTGCAATTGTCAGCATTTGTATGCTATTAAAATCCTTGAAAATATACTAAATATATTTTATTGCAGATAATTTAATGCTTACATAATGTAACAAAAAAAAGTAATTTTTATACTGATTTTTTAACGTGTGTTAAAATTAAAACCATAAGTAATAGATGCATAATGATTTTTATCTAAAATCTCAAAGCATTCCAGAAACTTTGGCTAAATTTCCCGACCCTCTCCTAAAGCAGGTTTATACTTACCATTAATTCAGCTCACATGTGAGAAAACTCTGGTAGAAAGTTGTTAGGAGAGTTACACAAAATCCCATAGCAAGTCAAGCTAAGAATTAGAGTTTCATGAATCCCAAACCTGTGTTCTCTTCACTTTATAGTACTTCCTCTCTGCAATTAACACATATTAAATATTCTTAATGTGTTACCTGTCCTTATACACCCAGCAGGAAAGCTTGTCACGTGGTGTAGGAGGTTGACCTTTAAAATTTGTAATTTTTTTCCACCTATAGGTTCCATTTTTTGTTCGCAAATTAACATAATACAGCTTAAAAGAAAAAAATTACAACATTTTCAGTATAAATGATGTCGAAGAATCCAGCACAAATCACCAGCAAAAAGAACAGCCCACCACCCCCAGAATACACTACTGCCTTTGGAGAAAAAAAAAATAAGGAACTGACAGTGAAGTTTACAATATGTAGCAACACATAGGAAGAATCTGATACGCAACAAGAACACACAAAGTGTGAGAATTAGCAGCAGGTTTCCTTGCCTTCACTCAGCCAGACCAGAACACTAATATCCTGCTCCTTCCAGAGCCAACTGAAGCCTTGCAAAAAACTTCTGCAAGACAAACAGCTCTCAGTTCAATTCTGTCAGTAGTTCTGCCTAACCTAACTAGGTAACTGCACAAAAACCAACCAGGCTTGTGAAGTGAGTACTAAACTGAGATCTAATTACAGGTTCCATTTCAGTTATTTTCTCATCAGGACTGAACTCCGACTTCATTTACACTAAATGATAAAACAGCTCATTTCCTCTACTGTGCTACTCCAGCCTTCAGTTACAAGGAAAACTGATAGCTGTATTTTAACTTTAATGATTACCTGATTATATAAGAAAGGTAATCACTATCAAGGAGCAAAAATAAAAGTGATATTCTGAGATCAGTTTCAATTATGGGCTGCCAACATATTTTAAAAAGAAAAAAGCAACTGGGAAAGCACTGGCAGTTTTCAGAAATAACTACAGAAGGTTTCATGTAATGGGTCTCATTCTAAAGCTATGATTCAGTGAAAAATCCCAGAAAAATGTATGGAGTTGAACATTAAAACAGAAACTAAAGCTTTTTGTCAGTTTAAAAGTATACTTTTTCTACAAAAATAAAGCTTGTCCTTAAATTTCTTTTTAATTCAAATGCAAAGTACACCAGACAAAACAGTCATATCAGCATTATTATTCATTCAAATACATTAGGTTATGAAAGAAAAGAACACAATACCCGATTACTGTATCCTTTATCATCAAATCCACCAAAAATGTACAGCTTCCCATTAATGCTTGCCCCACAGCTTCCTGACATGGAGGTAGGTAACTCTCCTTCCATTAGGTGCATTGTCCTGCAATTTAGCACACACAGTAAGTCTCATAATGCTGCTTTCAAACCTGCTAAAATTAACAAACGCAAACCAGATGTATTAATAATTTTTATACTTAAACCTAAAAATACAGCTGCAACGTTTTAGCCATAACTAGCACTAGAAACGATAGCTGATACATGAAGTCAGGCTCCCGTGGTGCAAGAGGACTTTCACATGAATATTGTGCATATGTTTGTGAAGCATCTCAGTTTTTCTGGAGGTGAAACCCATATTAAGAGCTTTAGTAGAGCTGAAATGTTAATTATGCAAAACCTGGAAATACTATTAACTCCAAAAACACCTGAAGTGAGAACATGGTCGTTTTGTTAATGTTACAAATGGAAAGCTGAGGCAGAAGGAGAAATAAAGGTCAGAAGTACTCACTAATTTTGGTACCCCATATGCCACTCCTGAAACTGCATTTTGCACTGTAGTTAGCGTAATAAAAAAATCTTCACTAATGCCAATTTTGGCAATGAATTCTCTGTTCTTCAGCAGCCACAGCAGTTCCTAGCCTTTTCCTTGCTAGTCTTGCTTACAAACCAGTAACTACCTGCGATGCAAATTCTAACATCACACAATCTCAAACAGAACACAGCTACCTAACGAAACTCAATTTCTGCCGAACTCACGAGGCTCAGCATTAGGCCAAGACTGCGCTTACAATCATTACTCCACATGGAAAACTGCTTTCCTAGGATCTCAAATTTCTACAGAAGATAGGGACCTGCACTTCCCTCTCACACGTACACGCACAGAGGACATGCGATTTGTTTAGGATTTCCACCTTGTCGCCACGCCTTCGGTCTCTGTAGATTTAGTGGCCGAATCCCAGCCTCTCCGTGCCAGCACTCCAGCTCCTTGCCCCAGCTTTGCTGCCGACATCTCATTTGCTTTCACCCCACAGTTTCTGGCTGAAGCTTCCTTCCCCTGCCGTTCCCATTCATTTTTCTCAGCTCTCCATCTGACTCTGTGCCTCCCAACTGGGTCCTCAGCCCAGTCTCCCTCCTCAGTCATGGTCTCCCACCTTCAAAGCCTGATTCCACTTTTTCTTCTCTCTGCTAGGCCTAACATCACCACACTTCTTGATCCAGTCAATGCCATTAATTCCCTTCTTTGATACATCCACCTCTAGATCAGACGCCTTCATCTTCTATCACTGGTGGTGATACAGAGGAAGAGGATTCTTACAGCTTTGAGTTCTGACGGTTGACCTCACCCCAACCTAAAAGAACTGGAGGCAGCCGTTAAAAGGAAAAGCTTTTTATGCGCTAAATCACCAGATGTGAACGATGTACGTGTAACCTGTCCCTGCGGAAAAGGGCGCTCACTAACAGCGGCTCAGGGCACTGCTTCCAAATACCTTTGTTCTGGCACCAGGACTGCCACAGGCCAGCCCACCTTCCCCTTCTCTGCCCTTCCTGCTCATTCCTGTGTCATGCGGTGCACTCAGCTCTACGTGTACCACTGTCTGTGCTGTAAACTGAATGAGATCAAGAGCGGATCCAGGTTAAAAATAACCCTGAAAAAAAGAAAAGTTATATTTAACCCAGATCACTTTCCTGATCCAATTTCTCGTGTGACCGTATAAACAGCTGTACCAGTACAACCGATACGGGGACATCAGGGGTGAAAAACAAGAGAGAGTATGAGGTTGCTTTAGCCAACCCTTTCACCAAAAGAAACAGACAGCAAACCACAGTCTTGGTGAGGGTACAATCTTAAAAAAAAAAAAAAAAAGACTTGCTAGAACTTCACAGCTAACCATATGCAAAGTGTTGTTTTCAAAGTCAGTGGCTTGACCGCACAGATGTGGAATTTCATACATACTGTAAGACACCTTCCTGATCTAGCCCTTCTCCCCTGTTCCCTCCATTTCCAGTTATTGCTTTGAATATGGGTATGCAATGAATCTCTTGAATATGGGTATGCAAGAAATATATAAACAGGTGGGAGACTAGAAAGACAGCTGGCAGAAAACACACATAAGCCCAAATGGATACTACTTTACCAGATTAAATACAATTATTGTAATAGAAACTACTGGAAAACTTTAAAAAGAGGCATTGTTATCTCTCCCCACACACGATATGTAAACACAATGAATATAAATTGTAACAATTAAACTGCTAGCGATGTGCAAGTTCTGGCTAGTTATAAGTTATTTTATACAAATATAACACAATTAAGTAATAACAAAAAGTACATAATTGTAAATAGATCAAGAACCCAAATATCCAGTGTTTAAACATTGCTTTTAACATAAAAGTTAAGGTATGGAGAACTAAGTCAAAACAAAGGCACAGATAAAATGCACCTGTTTTAACAATAGAGCCTTAAGCCAACCATTTCAAACATCCTCTTGAAAAAAACAATAATACTTAAGGAACTAACGTGTTTTCTAGAGTGATTTGCAAGTACATATGTCTGTTCTTCGGTCTTCACATTAAACATCTGCTGTTTAAACTCCAGGGAACATGACCAATAACTCACGTAACTGAAATAAGTCTTTTCACTGCAGCTAATTATAATCTATGCAAAGATCAACTTATATATATTAATTAAATATAAATTACGCAACTCACCATAACCCACTATCCATTTCATAGATCCAGAGCTCATCATTAGGCAGATAAACTTCATTTTCTTCAATTGACTAAAACCAAAAAAAATTTGCAAATGTTAAATCAATTACGCATTATACACCGTACGTTTTAAAATGAAATACCAAATCATGTTACTTAGCAACACGGAATAATCTTAAGGAGATAATCTACCAAAGCATAAGTCATACCCTAACTTTATTGCTCTGATCATTACAGTTTTAAACAGGCAGCTCAATAATGCTGATATTTTACATTTTCTACTAGAAGTTCAAAAAAGTTGTTTTTCATTTTTTGAAGCTATTAAAAATACCATGCTAGGCATTTCCCAATGTCATTGAGCTTTGTTGATTGTTAACAGCATCTTTAATCACTCATTTTAAGGTGTGAAGATTATAAAAAACCCCACATATCAGAGGTAGGGGGAGAAGTGTTTCAATATTCAAAAAGCAATGTGAATACAATGCAATAGCCAATTTGTAAAAAAACGAAAATAGCACAGGTGAACAATTAAGTCATTAGGAAACATACACAACTGCTACTAACAAGTAGCACAACAGTACCAAAACATGACCATGGATTTAAAAAAACCAAAAAGACTGTAAAAAATGCTTCCCTCCTCTATTAACGTGCTGTTACTAAAGGAAGTATTTTTTTCAGTCACTGATGTGATCACTCTGAGCAAATTTTGTGGTACTATTAGCCTTCATAGCTCCACATACAGAACATCAAAGACGAGCATCAAAGCATTAATGCTGTTCTTTGGGGCTTTTTTCATCTTTAAGGAAAAGAGGGTTCTCCTTCACCCATAGGGTTTTTTCCTCATTCCACAACCCCTTTTTATCTTTTCCAGAAACTGAGACTTTGTCAGGCTGTGTAGATAGGTAAAGAACCCAACAACTAAATAGGAAGTCAGAAAAAAGTACTCATTTTAAAAATAAGGAACTTAAATCCTCAGGCCCACTCATTAAAGGCACAGATCGACCAACTTAACGTTTTGCCAAGAAAGATGTGTAACAACATAAACCAGACCAGATCTGAAGCTCCTGAATTAAAACTCATTATCTTTTGTTTTGGGAGATACTTTTAATTAGGAGGCAATTCTTGGCATAATGGAAAAACATAGAGAAAACTGTAACTGAAAAGCACAAAAAGAACGGTTACTTGCAGTGACTGAAGGAACAAAGTTGAAAGAACAAAATGTCAAGTATAAAAGAGCTTAACCTATGCCATAACATGAAGGAGGAAATTAATTCCTCTGTGGAAAACAGATCTACGAAGGCTCCCAAACAGAGGCCATGTAAGAAAGAAAAATAATTTGGGAAATAAAGATGAGGAAGAATAACAAACAGGAGAAGGAAGCCCAAAAGAATGCAATTGCAGCACTCGGGCTGAGTAACAATCACACTATTAATTACTGTCTTAGCATTAGAAAGAAATGAAAGACTGTGAGGGAATAAGCAGCCAGAGTCAGTAAATAAATTTAAAAAAAAAAATTTAAAAAAGTAGATCAAAATTAAATTAATGTGAGGAAAAGAAGTTAAATACAAAACTGAAATTTAATTATTAACAATTCAGTTACTGATATTGATTACTTGCCTTTAAATGATACTTTATTATTACCTTCTCAATTCGAAAGGTGCCAATGGGGCATTACGCACTACGTTTGGTACAGTTTATCCTGCCAGGTGTCTTTCATAAGGTAGGCTCTGCTGCTACACGCGGCTTGCAGCTTTCACAAAGTGCACAGGTCTGCTCAATTTAATCTAGATATGTCAGTGGTCAGAGGCTGAGCATTTGCTACAGAACCAGCTCTGAGCAATACACTGATGCCAAAAAGAAGTTAGCTGGGCAATAGTCCACCATCAACATGTAGAATGTAAAAATGTAAAATGATTTACCTGTGTAAAGTGCTGCTTAAAGAGTAACAATGGTTTTCATAATACCCTCCACAAATAAATATGTAAAACTACTAGAAACATTTGCAAAGTTTTTCTGCTAAACTTACACATTGTCCATTTTCACTGTGCTGTGAACCCAGGATCCTTTATTAGAAAACCTCTGAAAACACTGCGCTAGCCAGTCCAACCTTAGTTTCTAAAGACCAAAGCATACAGAACTACCAAGTATTACCAGTGATTTAGGTGTTGCATAGTTATACAGAGTCTTACGGAGTTTAAGGCCAGAAAAGGACACTAAATCTTCCTGTATGACACAGCCAACTCACATTATTTAACTATATGCTTATTCTAAAGGTGGCTAACTTCTTGACACTACAAAATATGTATTCAAATCCTTACATGACTTGCAGTCACAAGGAACACTACCTACCAAAGACCCCCAAAGGGACGAAAATTTACAGAAACAGTTTACAGGCTCCTGAAGGTTCCTCAGTGCCATTGCAGTTTGGTACTGGGCAAGCCCAGCCATGCAGTAGGCTAGCGAAGGCGTGCCAGGCTAACCCAGACAGTGAAACCCTGCTGCCTTGCTTCCTACCACAGCTGAGGGTTTGTATTTCAGTGCGCAGTGTCTGTATTTTCGCTATTTCAGTAGTCACCAGCAGCACAACCCTTTCCAGGTCAAATGAACCGAGCTCAGGAGCAAAGCGACTCCTCAAATTCCACGAGCTGCCCAGCTCTACACCGCCTTTAAGTTCAACGGTTTTCGTCAAAAAAAAAAAAAAAAAAAAGAAAAAATTTCCATTTCCAGAAAGTAAACTATAATGTGCTTCAGGAAGAGGCAATCAGCCACTAGTACCTGAGAGCCCTAGAAATGTCCTTCCCTCTGCTACTGCATGCACTCATATTTTCAAATTTAAACCCAGGAGTCCCCAACTAGAATTCTTTGCTTGAGTACGGAAGGACAAGCTTCGCACATTTGAAAGTTTACCTTAGCCCACGAAAAAATACAGATAGAAGAATACAGAATATGTTAACAGAAACATGTTTTCAGCCTGATCAAGACCAGGAATAACACCAAGCACAGCTATTTTCACCTTTTAGGGCCAACGTGCACCATGGATAAAATGAACTGGCTGTACATAGTGTAGTATCATTTATAGCTTTCTTTTGGACTGAATTCATCCAGACCTAGGAGTCACAAGGATTTACTTATGCCAGAACTGGTACTGAGCTTTCAATGGGGAAAAAAAAAGCAGATGCGTTCTTAAGTCTGCCAGCAGCTTGTTTTTTTGAAGTGACAGAACTGCTTTCTAAGGAAGAACGTGCCCTGTGCATAACAACACAACTAGTAATAAGTAAAAAATGCAGGGGCCCAGGAACAAGAATTACACGCTGGAAAAACAGAGCCGCAAATTACAGCTGTCACCCCACAGAGGAAGGGAGACTAGAGAGGCATTCCCAGAGCACACAGGAACCACACAGCTTGTAGGACAAGGGGAAGCAAACCGGCTCCACCAGCCCTTCCCAACGCGTGCTCCGCGATGGAGGCAGCTGACAAGGGAGCAGCAGGCAGCCATGGGGGCCGGTCGGGGGCACTTATGCTCAGAGAAGGGGG